CCCCCTAGTAACGTCCTTGCTCCTACTAAGGTGGCCAAGACCTGGAAGCCTGGGCCAATGCAGGCAGTGCCAAGGGCCGTCCACACGATCCGAACTTGTTCACCAGCGAGAGGCGCGGGTGGCGTGAAGGGGAAGACATGAGAAGACTGATTGATTGGACGGCCAGAACTGCTGTTGATATCTTATAGTACAGACCGCATCTAGAGACAGACCTTTGACAAGAAGGATTTCGTTGATAGAATGCAGAATTAGCAGTATTTTTTTTGTTTTCTCTTTGTGATGACAGCCAGGCCTTCGATACATTCATTGGTTGATGCGCCCAGGAAACAAACTATAATCTCACTAGTTTCGAACGTGTTTAACATTTGACAACCTTCTTAGGCCTACGGGCGAAAGAAACACTTCCAGGCCTTCCTTTTTGAACTACTGATTGGTTTGAAGACATGAACCCTGGCCCTGTTTATGCATTCTGTAACTGCGTTCTGTGACTGCGAGGTCTCAGACCATTCGCATGATCAGAAATGGCTCGTTTGCCATGTATTTAGTCCCCGTTGACCCAGTGAGAATTGGCAGGCCTCCCTCCTAGTGACTGGCAAGTGGGTTTCAATTCGGGGTTCCTTGCAATCTACTGGCTGTGCTTGGCTATGCAGACACCACTCAAAATCATCACAGGGTTATTGAATAGTAGACGCACAAGATACGTCTCAGATGCTTGTTTTCTTCATGGTTCCACTGTTTGGAGCCACCCACACCACCTAGAAACACATGGAAAGTGACTGTGCTCATAGAACACATCGATGGCCGCTGGCCCCCACTTTGTTCTAGGCCTCAGCAAGGCGAGAATTTGGATTGCCGGCAGTATGACTCGATCCATGACCCTGAAGCCGCCTCTGTGGAAGGTTGGTATCGAGAGGTGAACAGCTGCCCCAAGGGTGGTTGGCAGGAGCACTCTTTGTTGTTTGAATGCCTGAGGTCGCTGGGAAATGTTGGGAAGAGGCTCTAAGAATCTTTTCACCATTTTTCACCAGAATCAAGAAATTGTTTGAACATATGTAGAACTAAACCTGAGAGATTTGGCATGTGAGAGGCGACGACTAGAACATATTTGAGAGCGAACCCCAGGATGGCTGTGGGGGTGTCTTGAATCACTACACCACGCTCATCTGGAAAGATGCGCGGCGGCTGTTTTGCTTCGTGGGACTGCGGGGCGACATGCGTGTGGTGAGCTGCCGCTACGCCGCGGAGGGGGACGACTCCAGTGGTTGCCAAGTGCCAAACACAGTGGGGCCACCAGGCAGTGAAGGATGCCAATTGGGCGCCGGTGTACCAAACCACGTGCCGGAGGCAGGGCTTGAGGTCAATGGCAAACATTCTACCCTAATGATATGGGTCGAAGCACGGGTTTTGGACTTCACCTGATGGGAGGGTTTCACAGTTCGCAGGTCCCAGGCAAAAAGACGCTTGCTTGCATTTGGCACAGTTCTTTTCCTAAGGCTTCTTGGAGTAGCCAGGCAGGTCGAAGAGCTAGCCTGAGCGCCCCTCATGCAAACAAGCTGCAAATATATAGTCAGATGATAATATCTATTCCCACAGGTCTAGGCCTAGACCATTTTCCACTCATGCAGCTTTGCTTCAACAGAGGAAACACTGCCCGCCCAAGTGGACACCACCCCCACCTGGGGCACCAGTGGGCGCACCTGCACCTGCAGCAGCTGCACCTGCTGTGCCGGGTTTGGGATGCGTGGAACACGCCTGCATGACGAGTTGCATCCAAAAGAACCAGCTTCTTTGACACATTTGTTTGGTATCTTTTCGCCCGTTTCCATGCTTTTCCAGATTTCTACCTCGCAAATCTTTGCTAGGTTGATTGTTAGGAATAGTCGCTTAGATAACAGTGATGCAGCGGATTTGCCGCCATTGGTAATCAAGTGGCCAGGTCGTACGCCAGTTTTGCTAAGGGGTACCCACTCACGCCCCCAGAGAGAAAACGGCTTTAAAACTTAAAACATTGATGTTTTTTCCTGTTTCTATCGTGCTTTGGCAAAACAATTTGGCCAACAGACCCGGGAACATTTGTTTAAACTATTTTTATACAATTTTACCGCTGCTTTCGGTAACATTCACAATTCAAAGAGTCAGGCACTGCGGAAAAATACGTCGGGCACTGCAGTAAAACATAAATGGATTTTTTCCGTTTTAGCAACCGCAGAGATAAGTCAAACTTTGATTGACAAAAACGGCTGTTTCCGCACCTTTCGGTAAAATCCATAGCGGCGGGACAGAGTTTTGAAGGTCTGTAGATGTGTGTTGCCTTGGGAAAAAAAGAACACGATTAAAACATAACGTGTTTTTCTTTTTTCCACCGGTTTTGCCGCCCCTTTGTCTTTAAAACATGGCCAGATACCCGTCAACAGACAAAACACACACAAACACATGATTTTTCCCGGTTTTACTGCGCGTGTGGTAAAAAAGTAAAAGATTAGGTGACAGACCTGGGCAACAGTAAAGAAACATGACGATTTTTACCACAGAAGTGCCTCGGGGGAACCAAATAATACAACATGCCTACAGCAATATTTTCCCCAAAGCCTGGCAAATATAGAATCCAACCATCTTAAAGCGCCCAAAGCCTGGCAAGAATACCGACTAGCCAGGTTGAGCACCTGTGAGAGATGTTTGAACTCAGAACAATGTGGAGGAGGCATGTACTGCTGCCCTTTCATGAAAAAGTGTGTGAGCAGTGGCGATCAGAAGCCTGGCAGCTCAAAGTATGTTTTCAGCTGCTTATTTGTGCTTGAACAGAACGGCATTGGGAGGGACCTGAAGGTATCTTGAGATCAGTATGACCACAAAAGACCGTATGTATATATAGATACACTTAGATGCATACATCAATCTGACTCTGTGAATTGAGCCTGGATGTTTGGCTTGTGAACTTAACAGTTTCCCTTAAAATCTAGGAACCAAATGAATAGTGCGCGAGCTATCCTGCGTCCTAGGTCGGTAGTAGCTACTTAAGCTACTAGCTACCGTTTGCTTATACTAGCTACCTCTTCCTACCTCTTCTTGGCCTACCCCCCGCGGAAAACAACGAAAAACGTCTTTTGTGCTTAGAAACCACCACCGCGCTGCAGGAAGTGCATGACACCCATTGCCTTTTGTCAGCCACCCTGCATGGACAGCCAGCCCTTTGAGCAGTGCAAGTGCAATCCTAAAGGATCTCCGGATGTCTTCCCCCAGGGCTGGCAGAAGTACACTTGCAGCTTGGATTTTGGGTGATTGACTGTGATGATCGTGTGAGTTTATGACCTGAGCTGGTGCTCTGGACTCGATGCTGTGAATTCCCACCCAATGGACACCCTGCGTCGCCCTGCGTACTAGTTGCTAGAAAGCTTTCTTGTTACTAGTAGCGATGGCCTCCAACCCAATTGCGACGGCCTCCACCTAGTACTGTAGCTTCTAGTCACATTCAAAGAGTTCTTGAGCATGTGGGACAGCTCACTAAGAGTCCTGCGCCCCTTTTTGATATCTCCAGACAATTGTGAGGCAAGGTTGGGCAAAATCCAGTGCCAGTGACAACCACGCCCACTCCAACTTCTCCTCCTACCAAGCTGATTTTCACCGGCATCAAAGATCAGAATCAATGGACTCGGATGAATAGTTGGATGGGACAACAGATGCTTGGCTGCAAATATATATATATATAGATTTGTATACATTTGTGCATAGATCAATTTTTCGTTTTTGGTGAACTGTTTGCCCACACCACGTGGGAGAGCGTGTTTTTTCTTCTGAACAGGAGCTAGCCCGAAACAAAACCAAGGTTAGCTACAGGCAATGGATTACGCAGGCAAAGATACTCAAGTTGAAAGTCTATATTCTTGGACTGTTTCTGTTAAACACCACTTGGGGTGTGTTTCTGTTGGAAGCTGAGGGTTGAGCGACCCTGCCAATTAGAAGTGTGCACAGCCGAGGATGGGAGGCTGGAAAGCAACCAATATGTGCGCAAGTGTTGAGGCTACCACTCCTTCTGCGCAACAGCAGAATGTGTTTACTTCTGCCAAGGGGATCTTCGTCCTTGGTTTTAGTGAAGCTCGTCTTCCTCACAAAGCTTTGCTAATTTAGAAGTCCAGTTTTTGGTCCGCCGAACCCACCGCACATTTTGGAAAGGCCGCAGCACTGAGGCCATGTCACCTCTGAATCCAGGCAATGCGGGCATCGCCACGTTTGAAGGCCTCAAGCCCACGGTCCAGCAAACCAACCAGGCGGACATGGATCAGGCGCAAGGGGGACACGGTCCAGAGTTTAAAGGATTGTTCTTTTTTGGTAAGATTGTGAGGAAAAGGAAGATTCTTTGCAACTATGTAGTAGTAATGCCCTTGATACTAGTAGCGATGCCCGGGTTCCTAGTAGCTTCTTGCCCTTGTTATTAGAGTGTCTCCAAGAACCTGCGGAACCTTCATTTGGAACCGCTACGTGGAGGCCTTGTTCAGGGGATCCTTCAATGACCGACGGCTAATGATATAAAAGGCATATGTATTGGAGAGGAACACTACGGCATGATGGAGGACATGGAAGATACACATCCCTGCGAGGCTGAAGGGAGATGGCTCATCTCCAATCTTGAAGGACCATCCCTGTAGTGAAGAGTCAAACTTGATAAATTGAAAGGGGATCTTGGCATGAAATGCTTCTATGTTTCTTTGCAGGGAAGTCACATTTTTTCCCTCCGGCATTTTCGTGCGGCTCAAGGTTTGTTCAACCCAACGGCTATGGAGCACCAATTCTGCACCGAGAGACGCAATGTCCATGCTGCTTCCCGGAGGCCTCTCGAAGGCAGGCGAAGCATTCGAGCTTGACTCGTTCTTCCCCTCTCAGCCTGGTGGGTCTTTCAACATGTTCCGACGTTTCCCCGTTGGCAGTTTCGGAGCAGGACACAAGATGTGCCTCGCCAGATGCCACCACCTCCCAACCACCAGCCACGAAACAGGCGTCTGCTTGGGGTATGGCAGCCTTTGTCACCCTCGTCACCTGTGGCCTCTTCCTTGCGGTGGCTGCCCGCCGGCGCCAGGTGTGGCCGGGGCTAAGTGGATTTTCTGCACTCAAGAAGAGACGCAATTTTTAAATGCTGTTTTCTCATTTATTGGCGGTAGCTTTGGCACACCGAGACAACCCCCTGAACCGCTATACTGTTTTACCACCCGTTTTGGCCTTTTGACCAATTTAAAAGCAGACTATTGTCATAGCCTGTGCAGGAGGGAGACCCTCTCAACCAGAAAGTCTTCCAAGTTTGGGGTCAGGAACCAACCAAAGCCCAGGCACCTTCAGATCGCGATGCTAGGCTCAAGGAATGTCATCCAACCAATCTTCATTTGGGAAAGGTGGTAGAATGAGATTAAAAGTCTGGAAGGCTTGTGGGCCATCGCTATTCGGTTGGAGGCCATCGCTTCTAGTTGTTGGCCAGACCTCCTTCTGCAGGAGAGGCCTTTGGACGCTGAGTGGGGAGATGTGCGAGATGTGGCCGATGCCTCCTCACTGCTGGGTTGAGGCACAACGAAGGCCTTTCGCATATTCTCCTTTACCGCTCTGAAGTTCTGATGCTGCTGATGCCATTGAAGTAGTTATAAGTTATAAGTGGTTCAACCTACAACTGATCCATACAATAAGATGCATAGGCAAAAAACAATTGAAGCTCAGCTGGATGTCATGGGTTCTTGAGTTCGAAGGGAAGCAGTCATGTTTTCGATTGAGGGAAACCATCCTACTCTGGCCGGCTCATCCTTATTCACGCCTGCAGGATCATCGTCTCCTCGTAGGCCTTCGAACACTTCAGTGAGAAGCAAGGGGCTTTGTGCGATTGAGTGACGTTACCTGGAAAGACCCCGATGAGCCATTTCCACACTAGGAAGAGGGCCAAGGGCTTCATGGAAGCTTCGGGGTGGAGTTGTGTCCTTTTGAGGGGAAGGATGTGGCCCTCACTTCAACCATGTGTGAACAGATCTCCCTCAGAAACAGTCAGCGGAGTCTACAATGACTTTAAGGGCCACACCTAGATACACCGATCCGATAAGCTTAATTACTGTATTACATTCGCCCTGGTTCCGATGATGCGAATGCACTTTGGATCTAGGTACATTGGGACATTAGATGACGGATGTCTGGCACCCCTTTGTAGATAGTTATCATAATGGCAAGCATGAACTACCCATCTTGGGTTTAGTTTTCGGTTCAAGATGTCATCTTGGTGCTGGAGATTCCCGAACAAAGCAATCCTTGGATGTCCCAATCTGCCTTCGCCGTCGCGTGACTTGGAACGGCTTCTGGAAACCAGATTGCCGGTCCACTCAGCTGTGGCTGGCGATTTTCGGCGCACGCTTATCAGTAAATAGATGTGAATAGATTGAGTTGGTGCGAGGCCAAAAATGCGACTGGGCTCGCATTTCCCGGCCTGGCAGATGATGCAGTTTAGTTTGGGGAGGGTTGAGATCCACGACTGCCAGCCTGTTAGATGCGGTGGGTCATACCTTAGATATGTCAGTCGGTGCCTGTGTTGAGTTGAGTCCCACCTGTAGTTCTTCGACTCAGCATTTCCATCGAGCAAAAGTGGGTTTCCATGCTTTAACTTTAATAATATAGACTATATAAAGTGGGCTTCCTGCTATTCGAAACCACCCGAAACCAAGAAAGAGGAGTTCTGAAGAGAGTTACAGATCACGCTTTTTCATCTCAGGTTGTTCTCGTGTGTTTCACACATGGGCATTGTGTCATGCCACGCACATGTCAGATCCTTGATGGGGAGCCGCTGCCCCTGAACACCAACGATGGCCTCACGGAGGCAGGGTCGGCAAGGTGCAAGCAGAGCCGGCTGTCGATGGAAGTAGTGCGCAGAAAACCAGGCCCATCCGAACCATCTATATAATACACTGTCGGAAGGTGGGATATGCTGATCTGAGGTGGTGATGGGGAATTCCTTCAAGGATGGAGAATGGCCATGAGTCATCACTGCTTTTCAAAAAAAGCCAATGCTAGCTCATTCAACCTTGGCACTCGACATGATGACATCCAAACGAGACGCCCAAGCTACTGTAGTTAGATCCTAGCCTAGCTATCTTAGATCGCTAGGACCTTACTAGCTTGGGCCCTTGGGCAGATATGGTTCCTCCAGTAATTCAGAGTTACAACCCACTTAGGCTAGTAGGGTGGATTGTTCTGACATCGCGTGGGTAATCACTTGATGCGCTTTGAGCTCAGGGCTTCCGCCTGGTGGACCGAGCGGAATTGCAGGTGCAGCAGACCTGTTCGGAAGCAACCGACATGTGTTCAAAGGATTTCAACGTGGAATTCAATTGAAAAGACCCCAGCTGTGAGGTCTTTGAGAACGTTTGATGTGTCAAAAACATTGATCCTGCTGTAGCCCTCGTACGCGCTGATGCAGTGGGCTGAAACTGCAGGTTCGAGCCTCCCGTTCCCCACCCATGGCTGAGATCGATGTAGATGTTGCAGACCCAGCGTGATGGATGAGGGACGAGCATCTCCTCTCCTGAGCCAGTGCAATTCCAGGCTGACACACAATCCACAAGCCAATTATACGTAATGCACTGTGATTCTGTGGTATATTGTGGATTATTATATGTATATTATGGTATATTCTATGATATCAGGTTGACCCACCGGGCAATGTCGAATTGTCTCATGACTGTCATTTCAGAGGCTGGGGTCAAAGGGCTGCTCCTCTGTGCCATTCAAAGCTGTTGTTTTCCTGTATTTGAACCCAACTCCTCAATGCTACTCTGCTTGAACGGGACCATCGCAGAGGTATGCTACCACAAATTGAACATCTACACTTCTCTTGTAGGGTCCTTCTGAAACACTGCAATCATGAAACATCCTCACAGGGCACGGACGTTCGCGGGTGTGCGCAGACGGGGGGACGGCTGTGCCCTGCAGAGCCCTGCGGACTGAGTTGGTGGTGGACCTGAAGTCGGCGCAGCCGGACGAGCTGATCTTGGTGGCCCCGCTGGGATTTAACTTCACATCGATCCTTGGAGCTTGCGATGGACGTTTTCCATCGTTTTCTCTAACCCAAAACTCTGGGAAGTGCATATCATTGCATATCAACAAATTATTCTTGATCTGGGATTCACAGGATTTGGATTTAGTATGGGTTTATATTCTAGAAACCGGCTGGCCGAAGCTCCTTGGCCACCAGGGGTATTTGGAGTGCAAGGGCCCTGCAAGACTCCTTATCATCAGATGGGCCAGACAGGGTGATTGGAGCTTTCCAGATACCGCATCCTCTGTATCCCAAATCGCAAGCTTGGTATGTGTTACATTTTGGATCAACAACTTAGATCAACTTAGGTCAGTAATCTTACTTCCAGTTTTACAGAGTATGCTGCCACGGGCTGCGCACTCCACGATTTTGACTCCTGGGCGTCATGTCCCTCTGAGGAATTGCCTGGTGGCCAGTTGGAGCCTTGGTGCGATGTGGCCTGGGAGGGGTTCAGACATTGCTCCCTGTGCCCAATGAAGGCCTGGAAAGCCTTGCAGGTTCATTTTCTCTGATGAGGCAATGGAAATCAATGGAACCCTTTCATAATTCTCATGGATTCTTGAGGTACCAGGGGTGTTCTGGCTGGTCCGTCTCATTCTGGCCCCAACTGGTGCCTTGAAATAGCCACATAGCTGTCCACACTTGCGCCTGAGGTAGCAACAATGAGGTCCTCTCCTGCAGACTGTGCCCTTCTCAGCTTTCACCGTTCATCCGGTGAACTTGCGACGGGAAGATCGAAAGCTCCATCTCAATGGTCTTTCGAAGAAGTCTTTGTTCAGGCACAAGATTGCAACCCTCATGCCTTAGCTTATGCCTCACCCCATGCCTCAGCTCATCAAAGATGTTATAACCTCTTGCCTTTCATTGACAAATTCACACCTCAAGCGGATGCTTTAGCACGGTTTTGGCACAATCGACGTCGACACGGTCGAAGTCCTCTCGGCAGGTCGGGAAACGTGGCTGGCAGAGCCGCAGCTCGTTTGAGGGTGCAGCGCTGGAACCTCATTTGAGCGTTGTTTCTTGGGGTGAAAAGAAGATGAAGAGGGAACTCCTTAAATGCTGCTTAATTAGGCATGCATAATTAGGCTGTCTACAGTACCTGATGGTGGGTTGGCGCAGGCTTGCGTAGGCTGTAGGTGGAGGCACTTACACAAGTTTTGTGTATATGGCTGTTGCATCTGAGTAGAAACAACAAGTCTTTGCTGTTTGCCATTAGCTCGCGTAGGCATGGCAACCTTCAGCATGGCGTAGGCTACGCGTAGGCTTGCACCCAGGATCCTTTGAAGCTCCAATCCAAGCACCCAAAAGACACTGCCACTCATTTGTCCAATGTGTTCGGGCTGACCGACATGTCAAGTCGTTGAAGTCCCTCGAACTTCAACAGAGAGTACATGACGTAGGTGTACAGTAAATGAATGTAAATGATATCAAATGGCTTTTGAGGCTTCATCGCAGCCTGTCATCCAGAAGGGTTTCTACTTTCAACGTACTGCTCATGTATGTGTTTTGAAACCGCCTCTTTGTTAAACGTCTCTTTGTTATTCTTTGTTCAATGTTTTGCTTTATGGGAGTTAACTTCGCACGATGCCATATTAAAAAACGGTCAACCAAGACCTTTGCCTGTGCCCTATGAGAAAAGACATAAGAGACAGTTGTTGCAGCTAATAAGTTGATTCAATGAACCCAAGATATGACAAGGCGGACCCGTTCTATTTTTGTGGGCATGGAACACCTACAATCACCTACATGGTGTTCCCTGTATTAATGTCTTGGACGGTGCACACAGTGTGATGGAAACATCACCGAGGCTTGACATCAGTGATGCAGCAAGTGGCACATACCTCAGTATAAGGGCGTTATTTGGAGCAGGCTACTAGGAACAAGAAGCTACTAGGGGCTCCTGGCCTTACCACTAGGAACACGGACGCTACTAGGGGCTCCTGGCCTTACTACTAGGAACGAGAAGCTACTAGGGGCGTTTGGAGCAGGCAAGGATTCACGTGGAGGACTTCCCCTTTGCGAGTGTTTGTTGGTTTCGGCAGCCGAGCAAATGGTGTCCCGCCTTAGTGGACACTTCTGGTTTTGCCTGACCCAAGCTTCTCCAGATTTTCTGGTTGCTGTAGGGATGACCATCGACCCCCAAAAGCCATCGAAAGCCCAAAGTTGACAGAATGGTTCCAAGATGTTCCAAGTGGTGTCTCCCACACGTGCTGAAGCATGCTGCAAACCATCTACACGAAGGAGCTCCAGCAGGGATTGCCGAACCAGCTCGTTGAGGAAGATGCCATTCGAAACTATTCCAAAGGTTGACAGAGCCCGCTTGTGCTCATGTGATTCTTGAAAGTGCGTTCTACAAAAATGTAAAAGCATCCTGACTCAGGTGATCAAGGTGGTTACTCCTGCCCAGAACCCACCGAGCACCAGCTGGTTTGTCAACGTTCCTTGGTCGTGCAGCGTTTTTGCGTTTTCGACTTGGCTCCCGAGAAGCCGACCTTTCGCCGGGAGCTTGAGCTTCTCATGAAAGGGCCAACCGGTTAATCACCCTGGTTTTACTTTTGCTATATATCTTTTGCCTTTCACTCTGGAAGATGCGGATCCGAACTCAAAGCCTGTCTGAACAACTCAGGGTTTGCTGAGGTGTCTGCAGATTCACGGTAGGCAAACTAAACATGCCGACAATGAGAAAGAACCATCCATGATCCATTCTTGATAGGTCTTGGAGCCATCCACGTCCATTCCCTTTTCCGGAACGGCCCTTCCTTATCCTTCTTTGGTACTTTCCATCCGCGGGCTCCTGCTGATATCACGATCACATCGCTGGTGCGAGGCCAAAGACAGTGCCAGTGGAATGCAGTTGGCCTGGGGTGAGGCTTGGCATGTGAGTTGTGAGGATGTTGATTCGATTCGGTCGGCCTACCAGCTTTTTGCAAGGCGACTGGTGGGTGGCGTTCTGGGTTTTAGGCGTCAACTTCGGACCAGAGGGATCAACAATTTGGAAGCATGCATCCACATCTAACTTCTTTTTTGGGGTCAACATCCAAAAAAAACAAATCTATCTATATGCATATATTATATATATATATACTGTACTGTATATGTGTGCCATAGTATTTTTGTTTGGAGCAGAAGGAATTCTCAACTGGATTGCAGACAAACCGGCGCCAATAGTTTTGTTGTTTCTTGGATTCTGCACTTCCTTTCCTGGCCACCAGGACAACGCCGGAGTTACAATCCGCCAGATGTTGGGTGTGCCCGGCCTTCTTTTTGAGCACCTGGATGAACAACATGGTGAGCGAAAGGCAATTAGGCCAAGAAATGGCAAGCTTGATTGGCATGTATGTTGATTAGTGCGGCTTGTGCAAGTTGCCAGGTGCTAGCGTTCTGTACCCAGGGATCCCAAGCATTGCGGGACAGATGGCCTTTAGCTTTATCACAAATGAAGCTTGGCGGAAAGCCTGAAGGCAATGAATCATGCAGAAGAACAGGTCAGTGAGACACTGCTACGAGGGCCCCTCGGAGGTTGATCGGTCTTTTATTCATTTGCTTTCCCATCAATGGACAGATGCGTCGATGTGGGGTCTATCCTGTTGCTAAGGAAAAGATCGAATCAGGTGGAGCCATTCGCGTCGGCTATCCTAGGCACTGAAAGGGTTGCCACACTTGCTGGAAGTGTTGCAGTGGCCGAGGCGTTGCCCTTATGTGTAACTTATGTATTGCTCTGGGTAGTCGGCTAGTTAAGGTTAAACTCTTTACTTGGATGCCTCTTTCCTTTCCAAGTAAACACCCTTCGCTGCAGACTGCAGATACTCGATTTCTTTTCCAGTCTTTGACTCCCAACCCGCTCGACGATCCATCCGTGCAGGGACATCGAAGTTCTCTGTGCTGGAGCATACTTTTACCCGGTGCGGCAGACAGAGATAAGCAATCTGGTTGAATGCAGTTGTTGTCCTCGGCATATGCATGAGTCTCATGAGATAGGTGCAAGAATTCCACAGATATCTACTGTACTCAAGCCGCTTCAAATGTTCCCAGACCGCTTTCCGACAATTGAGAGAGCAGCGACTGCAGGTGGCTTTGAGTGGCGAAGTGACCTGTGTCAACGTCTTGGCAGAGGCACTTTCAGAGTTTTGCATTCTTGTTGTCTCCAAGAAGCTTGAGGGGCACAGAGAAAGTGTTTCCAGCGAGAATCCGAGGCTGTTGTTTGAGAGCTCGCTTGCTCGACATTTGGCAGCCACCACGTGTTCGTGTGTTTTCTTTCAAGGGGAAAGTCCGGGACAGACATGCTCCTGTGAGATTTCGTTCTGATGCCCAAGAGGCCTATAAGTCCTATAATATCTAGTATAAGTCTACTACAAGTCCCAGCTGTGTGAATCTCCTGCCACATGTGCCACTCCAGTGCGGCCTGAATTTGAAGGGCTCTTGTCCTGTTGCTTCAATGAAGACGAATGGTCTCGAAAGAACCGGTGCGTGTGAATGCAGACAACCTACAATGACATATGATTTCTGTTTTTAATGGTGTACCACATGTATCACTGTGCTTGTTCAGATTCCTGGATGCTCACTATGCACACAGGAAGACGGTTTAGCCAATGCAGGGGTCTCCCAACCCAGACAAAGGAAGCTACATGCTTTGCTGCATCAAATTCTACAGTCATCTACAGTCTACAGACACCCACTATGAAATAGTTCCATTTCCATTCAGTCCATTCGGTTCCATTCCTGCATATCACTTCAGCAAAGCTGGAGCAAGAGATGTGCACAATGGAGTCTGACCGAGTCTCTTTGCTGTCGTTCTCCATGCGAACCAGGCCTATTTCGAGCTGCGCCTCTCAAGGCCTCTCCCGCCTGGGCAGACAGCCTTCACTGTCCAGATCCCAGGGTGTGCAAATGGCTGGCATTTTGGACCTTTCAATCATGAACATTGTAGGGATACTAAAAAATGGATGGCTTTGCCCTTGAAATCTTGATCATGTTTTGGAGTTGGTTAGGATGTTTTGTAGCAGGTCCTCCTGACTTCTGCGTAATTTGTTTATATATATATAATAGATTTATTGAGGTATTCAAGTTGCAAATCGTGAGACGGGGTCACGTTCATTGTTGTAACGTTGATTGGAGTTGTACAGTTTCTTTTCCTCCCGAGGTCACGAGCACATGTCCTGCCGCAGTCAATGATAACTACTTCTACATTGTGGTGATGACCGGTGCAGGGCAGGCGCTTTGCTCATGTGCCACGCCATTCCGGCCATGAAGACAGCTAGTCAAACAACCATTTCCCACTGCACAAGCCATCACAAGCCATTTTTACAGCCTTTCCGCACAGCTTGAACGAATTGGAGGCTTCTTGATACGTAGGAAAGTGGGGTGGGGATTGACTTGTTCGAGTCGCTTTCAAGGGCCAAACTCCCAATAAAGGATCAGGATGATCAGGTTTGAGTGAAGGACTTTTTGAAAGATTCCTGTCCGGAACAGGTACAATGAACAAGGCTCCTTGATGCATGATTCTATTCTGATCCTGTGCAGAGGTAGGAGCTGCGGTCTCGAGAAACTAGGCTATTGCCTTGGTCCGCCTGGGAGGTCTCTGATGCAGCGATGAGCATTCCTGGGCTTCGAATACAGCATGGCTTGCCTGTCTCGGCCATGCCGTTGATTTGGGGCATGGCGGAGCCCAACAGGAGCTGAAAGCCGGGTTGAAGCGGTCTGGGCTCAGCGCGCTTTAAAGAGAAAGCTCTCTACGTCGTTCCACTATCCTGAAATCAAATTACAGACAAGAACTGCCAAGGAGAGAAACTCAGATATGGTCGTGTAGTGACAGTGATTTGAAGAATGAGAAGAAACAGCAGTGCCCTTGTGAAGTCACTGCAGAATGTCAAACGAAGTCAAATGCACTAAATGCCCCAGATCTTTTTTGATCAACTTCCTAAACCACTGAAATGACTGCACCAGAATGGTGTCCATGGAGTCCACACGCCTTGGTTTCCAGGAATACCTTCGTCAGTACTGGCATTGAGATCCTAGGAGAGCTGCCACTCAAGGACTGAGGGATGTTGCTCAGAATTGGGATTCTCCAGTGTCACGATGTGGACCAATCTGCAAACCACAACTCTTGTGCGGTGTGAGGATCCGCCAATCATAAGCGAGATCATTATAGAGATGCCTCCAGATTTTTCCCATCAGGCATGGAACAGCAGCGTTGGCATCATCAGCAGCAATAGTCAGTGTTTGCGTTGACAACCGGAGCCAGGGGCCTTATTTGTCTTGACGACAGCACAACGAGAGGTGATGATGGTACATCCGAAGAGTTTTGCAGACGACATAGGCCTTGATTTAAAGAACCGAATTGACATGAAACAAAAGACGCTTGTACCTTGGACGACACTGAAAATTGTGTGCGTGCCGAGACACCCAACAAGGTTTGACGCTAAGAATTGTCCAAACCCGTCTAAAGGGACACTCTTGACCAACAATCGGGAAACCATGTCTTCTCTGCCACTTAAGCGGATGGGGAGGGGCGGGGTGGGGGTGAGGGTCAAATCCTCCGCAGTGGGAACGTGGCCTATCTATTATTGTATTATTGGACCCACAGTTGACCGTGTACACTAGAGTGAACGAGTGAAGCCCATAGAGCGAATGCTGGCGTTTATTTCTAGATCCGCGCACAAGTACCCTGAGCATTGCGTAAGAGGATAACAATAAGCATGGTCCAATCAGCAAACAGCGCCCCAAAAAGGAAAGCAGGGGGTGGTTCTCATCCAGGTGCTATGCAATTTTCGCATAGACTGCAACCTAATCATGTCTGCTGTGTGAACCAACCGACGTTCAATCATGCACCCCGTCAGAAAGATGTGTGGCGCCTTCTAAAGGCGTCGATCGTTCAAAGAATCCACCGATCATTATGTTCATCTACTGATGTATTTTTCATTCATTAAACATATGGAGAATGCACACATATTTTTCTTTTAGACTGGTGCAATGTAATTTTCCGTCTCACTTTAGGGGCTGCTCGTGTCCTGTTGCATCATGCAGGGATGAACACGTCTCGAACCTATTGGGATTCAATGGGCCGGATTTTCTCTACAATTGCAAGACATGTCAGGGAGTAGCCGCCGCCCGTACGTGACTCAAAGCGGCAGGTTCATCGCAGAGATCCCTGTTTGCAACATATAGGCATATAGGAATCTGTGAAATTCTATTAACATTGCTCAAAGTATGGATCGATCACTTAAGTCCAACACTTACGTAGAGTATAGGGCCACAGGGATCCGGGCCAACCCTCGGAGAACACTTGTCTTGCTCGTATTTCTTGTATTTTGCAGGTCCAGAAGACCGCACAGCTGGAAACCTTAACAAATGCCCTTCCAAGGCGTGAAGGCAGGACTCAGCTTTACAGCGGTTCACCCCGAAAAATCTCGGAATATTTGATGCTGATGTGCTGGAAATGGCCTTTTTCAAGTTTGCTTTGTGTGGTGCTTCCTAGTCAAACAGTTGCAGCACCCCCCCAGAAGGCCTGTAGGCGTTTGTTCGATCGACACGCACGTTAAAATGTCCGCCGCTCAGAGTCTCTCTTCCACTTGTTTCACCTGCTCCATAACCTGGGGCTCTTGGACCAGTGTTGGTTCAGTTTTCCAGGCATGCCCCCCAAAGTTTCTACCAGCGTTCAGACTGAAACAGACATTCACCTTGGTGAATTCCGTTGCAGCATATGAGTCCATGCCCGGCTACCAAAGAATCCGCCTTTGACTCCAATTGTGTCTTTGAATTAATATGTTTGCTCAAAGACGCAAAGGGAATCAATATGATATGCCGAAAACTATGGGTCAAAGATTTGGTACTCCATCATTCTGTCATCCTGCAAGAGTGTGAACCATCTTCCTTTTCTTTGTCATCGCTAGTAGGTTGGAGGCCATTGCTAGTAGGTCGGAGGCCATCGCTAGTACATCCTACGTACAAGTAGTACAAGAAAAGGACACATGAAACCATTTTCCTTTTCTTTGTGGGAGCTCTTTCCCATGCACTGAGACAGACTTCGACTTCTGCGCTTCCACCCCTCGTTGGTCCAGGTGGCTGGTTGGATGTCACCAATCCCAGGAGGCCATGGACAGATGTCAGTTTGGATCCAACATGTGTTTCAGATACACGATGCTTGAAGTCACTTGAAGTCTTGAAGCCGTCGATTTGTGACGCTCGTTTGTGGCTGGACTGGAGCAGCGGCCCCTAAGCAAATCTACGTCCCTCAAGAATTGGCGAGATATCCAAAGTGTTCTTGAAGTCATTGATAGTTGTTGCATCGAATTCTAGCAGCCTTGGGCGTTTTGCGAGAAGTGGGAGCCAAGCAATTGTTTAAAATGACGACCCATGAACATCCTGTGCAGGCTAAGGCTGTTGATGGACGAGACTGCCATTCAGAAGCTTGCCATCGCTGATTACAGGCAATGGAACAGCGATTGGCATCAATCCTGAATGTTTTCCATGAAGCCGAAGCAGCTTTGGCCTTTGGCACTGGCCACTTGCTCCTTTCCACAGGTTCCAGTGGCCAATCATGGTTCCTGCCGTCATGCCCAAGTACAATGCTGGTAGCTTAGCGTTTGTCGAAGAGCGCTGACATGCAGAAGAGACACTGCACAGCAGACACCCAGGAGTTTGAATGTGTCGAAAGGCATGTTCGAGCAACTGAGTAGATATGACCGATACTTCGAACATGGTTTTTCCCTAGTGTTGGAAGTTTACTGTAGTAGCACATGTAGCACGGCTGATGTGGATTCCTCAAGGCTTCATTCAAAAGAATGAATTGAAGATAGTCGAATGCAGTTCCATCAAGGTCCAGTTGTTGCCAACTTGACAGGTTCTGGATTCCTGTATCATTTGTGACATGACTGGTTTCGAGTCCAGTCTTCATTGCTCCAATTTGTTGATTTGATACAATGTAGGTCTTGCGGTTGGGAAGGTTTTGCGACGATTGCACCTGCATTTGCAGACAAGCTTCAAGTCAGTGTTGGTGCGGCGTATGCAGGTCTTGTCATCCACTGCTGCGGGTATAATCACTTTTGGAACTTCTCCAAAAAGTCAGGTGTCTTCATGGGCCACTCATGGTCGCCCGACTGTACTTTGATTTAACAATATCATGCGGGAGGTCGGCCGCATCGCCCCACCCTGCTGGGCAGTGGAAGGTTGGAAAGAGCAAGGCAAGGTGATCAAGTGGTATCGGCCCTGCTCATGGTTGTGGCCATGGACAGGGTGATGAATAAAGTGCTCCAAAATCATTTCACGAAAGGTAGCCCTTTAGGGGATACCTTGAGTTTGTCTTGCGAAGCAAGTGTTGGGACGTCCGGGTCTAATAATTGATCGCTCAATTCAGACCCCCCCCCCC